CCCGCCCGTCCCCTTCCCCTTGGGGGAGGCTGGGCTGCCGCTGTGGCTTTGCCGAGGGATGCTTACACCCAGCTTCCCCGCGCCGGGGCAGTTCAGTGAAATGCGGAACAGTTCTCAGGTAATTAATCTACCCCCCGCCCCTGTTCCTCCTCCAGCAGCACAGCAGTTACAACCGCTTCTTGTTGCAACGGCTCGTTTGTTTCTTTACCAAACGTGCCACCTTCGAGCAGCCCGGGAAACCCTGGGGCCGAGCTCGGACGTACAATTTTTAATTTTTAGTTCCGCGCCGCCTTCGTTTTGCAACTGTCACGATTTCTTCAAAATACTGTTGAACTTAGAATACCTCAGGGAAGGTCACCCGCAAGTTGGTGAAACACCTATTACTTCAAGCGAGGGCGGTATCGGGCTTGCAGAGACATAAATCGCTCTTTATTTTCTCCTTCCAGGTCCCATGCTTACAACCTTCATGAGAAGAGCCATGGATGCGCCACGGGCTCATGCACAGACATGCACAGCATCGTACGTGGTTTTAGGAAGGTATTTGCCAAAGCCGCAGTCGCACCAGGAAGCCTCAATCCCCCACTGTCCCGGCCGGTTTTGCTAGGGAGCGGCAGAGATCGGCTTCAGCGCCGCTTGAGTCCGACTTAACCTGAGTCTGAAATCAAACGGGGAGCAGTCGACTCGGGCCCGGGAGAGCCCGGAGCCTCTCCCGTCCCCTTCAGGCGGAGGGCTGGGAGGTGCGAGCGGGTTGCCCCGGGGAGGAGGGTAAACAGAAAGCCCAGACGCGGTCCGATCAAAACACGAAGGGTTTATTGTGCTATCTCTGTGCGGGGGCTTTCCTTCATATTTATTTCTCTTCACAGTGTTTGGGCTCTTGCGTGAAAAAAGGGGGGCGTAGGGTTTCAAGTGCAAGGTAACATACAGACACGTGCAAAGTATAGCATACAAAACGGTACATATTCCGCTGGTCCTTCGTGCATCCGAGCGGGGAGACGCGGTCTGGGGAATATTTACAACGCGTGAGCGCTGCTCGACTTTGTGTCTCCCGAGGCGGGTGCGGGCAATAACTTAGGGGAGGGGATGGCCCAGGAGGAGGCTAGGCGCGGGGCGGCGGGTGGCGCAGGTA